TGGCAAAGTGAGATACGAAAATAAATTTAGGTAATATTACTCCATGCCATTGGATATTAGCAAATTATATCATTTACTTACTTAGTTGGGGCTTACTAAAAGTGAGTCGTCCTTAGCTGCATGCAGTAGCCTCCTCCAGCCAGTCCGATCAGTGGCTTGCAGTAGTCAATGCCTTCATATAGTAAACTTTATACATGTGACAAATTCACGGATTCGGATTCGACAGGCCGCAATCAAAGAGCACTGTTTAATAGAAATCCATATCAAGTGCCTTCGAGGTTACACGCAATTAATTTCTCAAGGTATTTATATTCAATGACTATTTCCACCTAAATTTCCCCGAACTTTTACTGAAAATCATCTTAAAATCATCTTAGATTTATTTAAATATGCGATAATACCCCATTGTGAACAACACCTAAACAGATCATCCATCATAATTTGCAATAATCAGGTGAGTTCACGAGCAGAAGCACTTCATCAGCATACAAACGCGCTTTTATATGAATTGAAATGATAGGTACTCAACGCGTCAAAGAGTCATGTAGAACATTTAATTGTATAGAGAACAAAATCGGGCTGAACAGGCATCCTTGTTTTACACCTTGAGTGACTTTAAACGAAGAAGACAGTTCGAGTCAAAAACTTGCGAGACGAACCTAAAATAGCTAGCTTGAAAAATAAGACATTCCCAGATATTGTGTCAAATGCACATGAGAAATCGATAAAAAAGGCATATCATTTTTTATTGTTACTTTAATTTAAGTCTATTATAGAGGTCAGATGGAAAATGGTAAAAGCTTTATAGTATGAATGAAGCTAAAATGACAAGTAGAAGGAAGAGAAAGGATTACATTATAAAATACTTTGACTTGTTTAGCCACTTTATAATAATACCGCCGTCCTAAGGCATTTAAAAGCACAATACTACTTTTGAATCAAATCTACAATACCGACTAATTACTCTCAATATCAACAAAATAACATTTATTTCTAGTTAGAGATTTAAACCAAAATAACCTAATTAGACTTCGGCTTTGTGATTCCAAGCTATTGATATAATGTAGGTAGCCTCTTTTCAATTTAGGACCTTTCAATATAAGAAAAAGTAGGTCGAATTACTCTGAAGATATTTTGCAAAATATGGCAACACTTTTTCATACTTTCTTCCCCGTTTTTCACCCGGATTCAATAATATTTTACTATTTTGCCGCCAAAATGACAAAAATTAAAGAAACACAGTGGGCGTTCAGTTCAGCGCTGTGGCATTTGGAAACGTTTTTTAAATTGTGACAGTGACAGAATTTGATCCACAATCAGCAGTGGCAACCAATCAAATGCCTCAAGGCGGTCTGCTTCTGTTCAATTTTATTGCCGTATAGAAACTCAGCTCAGTTCACGTTATCCTGACATAAAATACTTCTCGCAGTTTGTCGTTTATTGTTTTGCATGTCAATGAACCATATTTGTGGTCACTTCCACGAAGCACGGAATATTGACGTAACTCTCCCGCAGGTGGTTCTGCCTTTTTCAACTTAATGAAATTCAGGCGATTAGAATTTAATTTAAACGAAATGAATTTTAACATTTAAATAAAAAACTGTGAAGCATAAATAAATACGTGAACCGAAAATTACAGAAGAGAAGTCTGAGGAGGTGCATGTGGAGGAGCATGAGGGATGAGGGACGAGGGATGAGGGATGAAAGAATAACTAACAAAGCAAAAATTAGCTTAACTTGCCTAAAAGTAATTGACATGTTGGAATTAATAAAAAAGCTAATTTTTCTTAAACGTCTGGTGCTTTTTCGGTTCCTTTTGTAGCCTCAGCTTGAAAGCGTTTACGAGTTCTGCGTTTTCGTCGCACGACTACTTGATACATTTGACATTGCCAAAAAGTGACCATAAATTGCGTACCCTTTGCGTACCCTTGGCATGGCATCCTTTGACATGCAAACACAACAGTTTCTAATCTCCGCATTTTAATCTGCTGCAGCAGTTGCCCATTTGAGGACAAGTTTTAACCCTTGAAATCCGTCTAGTCGCTGCTATTTTTCCCTATAAAAAATGTGAAAAAAGCATAAAACTAAAGCAATTTGTCGCAATAAATCAGGCTCAGAATAACTTTAAGTGTTGGTAAAAACCGAAACTAACCTGCCGCAATACGAATTGCCACATCTCGAAACAGTTCCACGGATTGTGGCAGCTATCCCCAGCTGCCACAATCCACAGCTAAATTGTTGACATGGCAAAGTGATTGTTAACAAACAGAGAATAATATTATTTTGTTGTTGTGTCAAGGATTTTATGATTTTGTTTACTAAATTCATTTTGCATCCTTTACTTGCTTGCATTATCCTTTCGCATTCACTGTCAATTGAAAAGCAAATATTGCATTTCATTTTATTCGATTTTGGCTCCTCCGCAATGTGCCCCTGTGTCCTCGTGTCCCTGTATATCCTTTTATGATTATGGGTTTCATATTTCATACTTCATCTCGGGGGGTTTATTATGCTAATACGTACTCTATACGTATTATATACACTTTTTGTTGGCAATAAATCTGAGCATCCTTTCATACGTCGGTGTGAAGTTCGCTTATGTGCTCGCCACTTGTGTTTATCACTTCGATTTGGTGCGTGTTATTTGATAAGCCAACATTTAAATTGATACTAAATTTAGTCAATTCAACCTATAATTTGTGGTCTGGCTTAAATGCCATAAATTATATTATTTTCGGTTCGGGTTATGTGTAAATTTGTGTGCTTTGTCTGGCAATCTGAAGTCTTTATTTAGCTTAAAGTCAAGGCAACTAGGCAACTAGACAACTAGCGCAAGAGTAAAGGCAGTACGTAGTTTTATGTTCAACTTGCGATATCAATAGTATAAATAAGAGGAGTATTTGCATTTTGTCTGTGATTGAGGTAATTAGTACATATCATTCGTAATTATCTAGCCAGGGAATTAGTGATGTGAGTTATAAGAAAACAACGTAAGGTTTGTAATACACAAGAAGTCTTTAAGGAAACTAGATATATTTGTCTACTGCTACGTTGAAGCTGAAGTTAGTATAATTGATGGCCATTCAAAACAATAATTTGTTCCGATGCATTGTAATTAGCGGAATGCAGTTGTTTTTGTAAGCGAATACATTAGATATACACACAAAGTCTTTTTCAACTAAATTTAAAAGTAGTTTAATCTGTTTGTTGAACAGATATATATGCTCCATTAGAAGCTTAAAGCGTCTACAAAAGTTTTCCATTGTTTCTATTTTATGCTATTGCTCTTAACTCGTTAAACGATTTGCCCATTTCCTGCTGAACTGTCCTTTTCCAGGTCATTGCTGGCCTGCCTCTGTACCTAGTCCACTGGGGGTTTCATGTAAGTGCAGCATGCGCGATATCTTTATAAGGCTTACGCAGTGTGTGTCCAATCCAACTATACTTCTTTCTCCTTATCTCGCTGTTTACGTTTGTTTGGTGCGTTATTTTCCGTAACCTTTCATTTGAAATCGATTGATTGCAGTCTTCAAACAAATACAATGAGATAATTCGGCAGATTAATTGGTTAGTGTTGGACCTAATGGGTTTATGTATACTATTTCGAAAAATGTAAGCGAATACTAACTTAAAAGTACTATTTCCCTCAAATTTATATTAGCAAATAAATATGTAAGTTCTAATACAATATATTGTCAAAAGTACTGGAATAATATGGGGTTTTCTGTAACCAAATTGGAAAAATAGGTTAATTTTTAAGGATTATACTGAATACAATACAAACTGCCTTTAAGAAATGAAAATAAACTCAGTGTCTTCTTAAAGTAAGTTTTATTTTACTACTGCAAATCTATTTTGAAGTATTTTAAGATCAGTTACAGTTCTAGATGAGTTATTCTAATAAAATAGTTCTCTCATAAAGCTATTAATATAAGAATGTTTTCTTTTTATGGTGGTTTATGTTATATTAACTAAGTTTAGTTGACTTTATCATATGCAAATATTGATTCTTCCTTAGCGTCACAGATTCTGAACAACCTAAGTTCGTCGCACAGTATCTTCTTATTCATTCATATTCTTATTCAAACCGACTTCTCCCCAACCGCTAGGTTGGTATTCATTTTGTTTTATTCATTTTTGTAGCTGTTAGCTAGCACTTTTGCACGTTCTTGATACTACTTTGCCCTTTTTAAATGATATCTTCTTGTATTCGTTTTGCCGTTATGCTAGTATTTGCTTACTTTATACTCGTATATGTAAGTGGCCTTGTTTCCAAAATGCCCACTTGAGCTCAAATGATGGCCCATATGGTATCACAGGAATAGCATTGGCAAGTACATAGATTTAAATCCGTGCACAGCCAACGCCGAAAAAAGTAACTACTCCCCCTAACGTAAAGGAAAACCAACCAGACAGTTCTATAAATTTGGCCAGGTCCCTAACTTTACAGAATGACAGCTCAGTCAGATCAATGAGAAAAGGGGATCCGAAGATTTTTAATCGTCTTCTAGCTAAAGAAAACCACTGACCTCGACAAAAATCATTATTGGTTAGACCCAGTCTCATAGCATGCATTCCTATTTCGCAGTGTTCCGTCAGCACAGATACCATGGTCCTGAGACTCGTATATGTGACTTCAACATAAAATGTTTCCTAAGGTAAGGTGAAGAGAATAATAATGGAATATAATACAGTTTAATCAATGTATGAATGCTTAGATACGGACATCTATTGTTACTAAGTCATTGTTCATTCCGTCTATCCGTATCCTGAGTAGTCGTTACCTTCTTCTCTTCTCTGACAGGAAGGAATTGTGTGATGAAATAATAAATTTGATTTAAACACTCATATGTATATTTTTGAAGTGAAAAATGCCTTTGTTTTGTTATTTTTAATTTAATTTTTATGTTATAGTTGTTAGAAAAGCAACATTGGAAATTCACAATAATTGAGGTCAAAATTTTTTAATAATTTTAATTTTAATTTTTAATATAAAATTTTTTATTCTGTTCATTTTTGTATTTGCTTTTCACCAAAAGCATACATTATGAAGAACTCACTAAACTTAAATTTTGGAGTTGCAAAGTATATATTTTAGATTTCTGTGATCGATCCAAAAATTACATCAAAGTATGAAAATGAACTGAGAAAACAGGTGACTTAGTATTTACTTTATAATTTAAAATTAGAGCTAATTTCATCAGAACATCTTTATAATTATACTTATGTTCAACATCTAAAGATAATAGCATATAATGTTATGCCAACAATTTTGAAGAAATCTTTATAGTGGAATAAAAGTTTATCTGTTCTATTGTTTTCCACTCCTATGCTCATTACTCACATGGTACATATTGTGGTTCTTAAATATTTGTTTCAGTTATTAGTTTTTAACAGTTTTGCAAATCTTTTGCTGGGCCTTTTGGAGTGCATGAAGGCCGTACCAGATAAGAACAAATGTTGAGGTTTGGTTTTTCATAAGATACTGCATTTGAAACCTAAATACAGATCTATAGAATGAGTTCGGCTAATTTCTTAATCGGAGGCATTTCAGATCTCGCTGGATTGATGAAGTTAAAACTGATTTAACACCAATTGACATCAATGCCTGGTAAAGAATTATAGTAAACCTTGATTAACAATCGTGGAGCAAAGATGTGTTATAAGAAAGGTCCTTATGCTCTGGCGCCGTTGAAGGTGAAGGAGGAACTTGCTTAAGAACATGCCAATTGTCTATTAGTTTATTGTTTATGTTTACTTAAGGATAAGTTCCAATTTCGAATAATACCAGCTACTATAGCTCCGTCTACCAATAAATATATACCAGTTTATACACCTCTGGAATCATCATTGCTAAAGTGTACAATGATGATTGCACACTTAAAGTGCAAGACAAAATAAGTTCAAACTAAATTTAACTATCCTATATCGAACAGAAGTTATAAGGACAAAGCAATAAAAGTTACTACAACAATTTGTTATTAATGAAAAAATATGGCAATATTGAAAATAGAGTATCAAAAACCAAATAAGCCAATTCTGGTTCATTATTTTGCGTAAAAAGGTTAAATCTGTACGGTTTTCATAAGAAATTCCTGAATATTTTTTTTATTTCAATCAATCAATAGCCACTCTGTGCCGGCTGCTGTCATAAAACTGCAAAGCAGACTCACGTTCAGCAAAAACACGTGAAGCTATTGGGCAATTATACCCAGACGCAAAACTTATGTTATATTCAATTGTACGTTAAAGAAATGGAAAAGTAGCACAAAATGATGAAGTACAAGAAGAGTTGAAGGTCTCGTTCTCTAAAACCAGTGTTGTTGGATTTGAGAACCTAAAGGCTCTACTCTCAAGTACACGTAGTGTGCTGCTTTAAGCTTTTATAGCATTTTCTTATACAACAGAATTCACTGTAATACACCCACCCATTCCCAATCCACAAAATATTGCGCAGAATATAATCAATTATATACTTAATAAACATTAATTTGCTAAAGGACACGAAACCTACAAAGCCTCCTGAACTAAGCATAATGTCCTTTGGCATGGCAACTCAATTTAACGAACCACTCATAGTTAATTGTTGGCATATTTCATAAGCCGCAACGTATTTAAACTTGAAATTATTTATTATAAAATTAACTTCATTAAATATGCCATATTTTCTTACCTAATTAGAGTCCTTAATATTAATTCTCAACTTCTTGCTCTTGCTTTGGCATAAATGATATTTGCACAAGGATATTTCAAACACAAATGGTCAGGCCAACTGGAAGATGTAGACAAGAATTTATTTATTGTATTTGGCAATCAATTTATCTTTAATAAACAGTAATAATTCCACTCGGAAGACTTTTAATAATTGCCGAGCAGAAATTCATTCTGCTGCAGTAATTAAGCCCACAGGATCTGTCACATCATTGTCGTTGCAAAAATGTTGACAAGGTACTTTCACAGTGATGCCTAAGAGTAATCGCTTTAATCCTGTACAAAATTTTCCAAACTCTTAGCAATAAAATGTGGAAAGTTTTGTCGGCGACATTTTCTAAAATCCTGGCAAAAATAACAACAACAATGAATAGCTTCGTTGTAGGAGTAAAATGAAGCTATCGTTCGTCCTTTAGCAGGAGGAAGTTTTCTTCATAGTTTTTAGGCACAGCAAACCTCTTTAGGAGGCTATTACTTATGGAATTTTCGAGGTGAATTGAAAAATGTATATGTATATTAATCCTTTTCCACGAAGAATGGGTAAAAATAAATGCTGCATTAAAGTGGTTTATGCAAGTCACTTCAAATTAATATCTTCCTGAAAAATTAAAATGGTTTCAAATTGTTAGTTTCATCTTCTCTGACACTATGTTTATCTGTTTTTTCTTTATAAGAAGTTTTTAGAAAACTTTCGCGTCACTCTGATGCCACGTGTCTGCGTCCTTCAGGCAAACTTTCGGTACCAACTTTATTCTAATGAGTGACTGGATGCAAACATACAAACTGCTTTGAACACTTACCTTGGAGCTGTTACCTTGTACTTACCTTGAGCTCGTACTCATACAGTTTTAAAAATTAAATTACTTGACTTTAAATACTAAAAATTAAGGAAAAAAGAATAAATAATTTTTATAGAGTTTAACAATCTGCTACGAGGATACCAACTGCACTATATTGATTGTATATTTACAATTTCGGTACAATATTTACAATATTGGAATAAGAATTTTATCAATTCCATTTCAATAGTCCCAACACTGAAGAAAGCATCTTACGGGTTTCTTTGTGTCATGTGTTTTGAAATATATCATAGAAGTACTTATAAGACTGCTGAAATAATTCGTATATAGATCTATTCTATCAAACATCTTAACTTCTTAATTTTATAAATGAATAATTCCGTATTCGTTATATTTTTTTTGCGAATTTTGTCTGAGTACCTATTCTATAGTATGAAGCAGTGATCCTTCACATACATTTTAAAATCTGAAACTTACAAATGTTAAATGATTTTCCGATCTTAATCAACATTGTCGTTGTCGTTGTTATATGAAATATAATTGGTGAAAGGAAGTCTAAAGTAAATTTAGCGGTTTGGGTTTCAAAGACAATATCTGTCCGACGTCACTCACCTTTACTTTAATTCAACATTTTTTAGAAAGAATTGTGACAAGACCGCTGAGCTTGCAATGAACATTATCTAAACAAAAAGATTGTCGATACAATGAAAAAGATTACGTTCGTGAAACTTCGATATAAAGGGCTCAGACAGTGCGAAAATGACAAAATTCTGCTATTTAGGTATTATCGCCTCAAATGACAAGGCCTTTTAGTGCGATATAGAAAAGGGACTAATAAAATCTAAACACATTTGTAGCTTTCTAAACAAAGTATATAAATAGAACTATACGAAACCAATTTTGCAGCTTCACCAGTGGAAACTTAACGACCACTTATAGGTATTTCCGCCAAACGCAATTACCAACATAAAGTTATACTACAAAGCTAACCATGTACCACCTACTGAAAATATAATAACTCGGATAAAGAAATTGCAATAATTTATTACGGCCCTACATTGTTAGTCTAAATTTAAAAGATTTACTACACACACTCACACACACACACACACATGATTAATTTATGACTTATCCCTTAGTTTCGAAGTGCTTAACGTTCATACATTCTGTTTCCATTTATCAAAAACTTTTTCTAATTTGTATTATTTTTTGGAATTCGGTCCATTAAAGAATATACCATTTAGCATTTTTAGGGTCCTCATCAGAAGAATACTTCATCGGTGTTCTATTATAATAGTAAAGAGAGAAACGGACTTTTTTAGATTTAGTTTATAGAGCACATATAATACATGAGCTCATCATTTGGCAGTAACTTTTCGCTATTTGCGATTTCCGTAAAGTAAACGAAATTATTCTACATATGTGGAAGTGGGGCAAAATAAAATATTTGTGACGCCAACGCTTTCCAAATGACGGCATCGTAATTCCGGAAAAGTGCTCGGCCCGCTTTGCTGACCTAGGATTACGCTGCCGCGCTGCTCGCAAATAAAACCATTTTCATTACCTTTCATACCAAATTTTCCGTTTTAATTTTTCATTGTCTAATGCAAATATTTTTGCAATAAAACATTGGTAAATAACGGCGAAATTCCCAAAAGGACTCGGTGCCCGCATGAAGCAATAAAAATCAGCCCAAATAAAAACAAAGTGAGGAGATGAAAATTTATTTTAGTTATTTTATGCTTTTCCGTTTTCCATAAACATTTTCCATTTGTTCGATTTTCGCATAAAGTTCAGACAATTCCGAGTTTTTATGCTCCCCTGTAACTGGTTATTCCTTTCGCTCCTTCTTCACTCCTGTTTATTTGTCCTGACGTCTTCGACGCATAGAAAAACTTGTGTAATTAATTTAGCATAAATCAGCGAAGGAGAATTTTACGACAGAATTTTAACGAATCTTATCTTATCAATGGCTCAGATGTGTAATGAAAGTCCCTTTCTTCCCGAAAGCCGCAAAGGACAGGAGCGTTATAATTTTCATTATGTTTATGTTGACAGTTAGATCGTGAAATCAATGAATTTGAGCAAGTTTCCGTTTTAGTTGAACTTGAAAATAAAATTTTATTATGAAATGAATTCGATTCGAAGTTAATTTGATTTCTTTTTTTATAAAAAGAAATGCTTGGTTGTGGATATGTGAACAAGTTTTTATTATATGGATGAAATGCGATGTACTCGTGTTAATCAAATATTGACACTGTGCAGATTTGACACCACGAAAACTTATTTCCGGTTATGTTACTGAAATTTGTCCTGCCGGATACATACTTACTTTAGCCTTACTTTCAAGGGACTTCAAATTTAGTGCACAAAGACCCTCTGCGTCCTGTGCACAGAAATGGAACATAAGGAACATAAGTTTTCGTTGAGTTCATTTTGTGCAATGAAAGTTTAAATTGCTCAAAAAACTACACATTTCAAAACATTCAGGCAATGTGGTGGCAACTCACAAGGGTATTTAGGGATGAGCTCAAAACCAAATTCTCCTGTAGGGAATATAATTTACACATACTTATGAGGAAGAAGTGATAAATAGTATTGAGTATTAAGTACTTAAATTCTCTCATATTCTATTTATTTACAATTTAATTTAAAAAAAAAACTACAGATATATTTTAAATCAATGTAAATATAGCAGTAGGTAAATCTTACTTTTTTGATGTCTTAATTTTACTCAACCCAAGAAAATTATTTTGCGTTAATTGAACAGAGGATATTAATTTTCAGCTCATTGTTCTCCCATCATTCACTTTAAATTCGAACAATCACTAAATGTTTGATTGAAGTTTCATCCATTTTTAAATAGTGACTACTTTGTTTAATCTCATAACAGCTGATTTATCTTTCGAGTAGGACAAGTACATCAGCTCTCTGTTCAGTATGTTTCTTCACATCAATCTAAATCATTTTTAGAGGCGATATTATGTCATCCCAGAACAAAAAATATTGCTGCCTGATATACGGAACAGAAAACCTGACACAAAGTTATGCATTCCCAACTCAGCGTTCTCCTCCTGGTTCATATTAAAAACGACCAGTTACAAAAAATATGAATGGAGATTTCATTCATTTCCAAATAAAGGCGAAACTGTGTAAGACTCATTGTATGTAGACAGTCTAGGATTAGATCACCAGTCAAGCAATTTACCAGCGATCCCGATTTGGCCGACTCGATTCGATTGATGAGAAACAACTCTCTTCAATTATTCTCTAATTGCAATTTTCACTTCCAAAAAAGGATTGTCTTGAACTCCCTTATGACTCTCTTCTTAAAAGCATTTAATTTTTATATAATAATAATCCATTCAACTATAGTTCGGCGATTGAATTGATAAAATAATACTGATTTTATAATCCTAGCATAATAGAATCGTGATTAGTTGAATGAAAACTTAGTAAGTTTTGGCTTTTTTTCAACGAAGATATAAATATTAGTAAAAGCTTACACCTTCTTCAATAGAATAATAAATCATTTTAACATTGAATTCTATTTTCAATCGTATGCCCGATTTCTATTAAAAAAATAAATAATTAAATTATTAAAGATTGAATGAAAAACCATTTGAGTACTTTGATATATTTAGAAATTCTTGTGGATTGCATATGGATATTAACAGCTTACAGATTAATATTATTCAATATTACTAAACGATACATTACTGATATAAAGGACGTTGCGAAAGGTGGAAGCGACTTATAGACAGCCTATACCCAGTATAAGAGGCTGCTCGAAGTCATTGACGTCGAGCAAGGCTTAGTATTATTAATACTGAACGATTGACAAGTTTTAGAACTGTTGCCGGTTCTCACAACAGAAAACCTGAACACTTGTGGTCATCAGATAGGTGGGGTAGGTGTAGTATATGGTATATTCTTTACAGTTCGTTCTATTCGTTCTTTATGTGTCTTTTAAAAGCATAAAATGCAATCATTCTATGTGAATATTCCAACCATCGTCTTAGGGTTCTCTAGAGTAACTATTAGATTGCTTGTTTTTATAAGATCCTTTGTACTTAAACTATGCTAGTTTGAGTAGCTGTAATGTAAGTAGTCAGACATAAGTTATCGACCACTCGATTTCCATTCAAATTAATTAGTTTATTCATCATTTTTTCATAAATGTCGCATTCAACACTAGCTTTTAAATATAGTTTTAATAAAAATTTTAACAACAAAAAAATCTGCACCACAAAATAACTTAATCCCTCCACTTCTACTGCCTCAGTAACACACTTTCAATAAAAATAAATTCAAATATAAATAAAAATGTAAACACAAAATTTCAACAAAAAATAGGATTGTGTTGAAGTCTCATCAAAAACACTCCCGCTCAATAGAGTCCTGGGTTGTAAATTATAACCAGTGGCAGCCACTGATACGGCTGCAAAAAATGCGAAGGATGACACTAATTTGTATGCAATCGAATTGAGTTTGTCGTTATTGTTACAAATTCTATGGATATTTATACTGAAGTGTCATATAAATTCTAATAGAAACAAGCTCACACTCCACACTCCCCATAAGAGCTTTGTTTAAAACGTCCATCGACCGCCCACAGTGGGTCGAGCATGCACAGGACGGACATATGCTGCACACCATGGCTAATAAAATACAAATGAAAATTGGTTTCCATCGAACGTAAATAACAATGAAATCGGCCACTAAAGCGCTGTGCAGACCGAAGGTCAACTGTGGAAAATAGCAAATCAATAGAAAATGGCAACTCTACATAATAAACAATTATTTTTTATGGCAGCACATAAACAAGGCAACAATGGCAGCAATGGCAGCAATCGCAGCAATCGCAGCAATTCAGGCGAAACCAATAGAAATCAGTCTTCCTTTTTGATTTTCAACTCATTTCGGATCTTCCTTAAAAAAATTAATTTAAAATGAAATCTTTGCATTTGTAATTTGCATGAAAAGCCATAAAAAATTAAAAAGTATTTATAAATTTATTATATAAAAATATTAAAATACATAGCAGTGTGTTTGTCTATGATTGACGTAGCTAAATTTTGATTCCAACCTCGCCGGGATTGTGAATTTTAACGAAACGATCGTTTACTTTGTACAGTATCTCCTTATGCGTTTCTTCTGTTTTGTATGGGCCAGCATCGAGATCTCGCTCCACCAACAACTTGCCATCAACTTCACGGAAAAAACCACTCTTCAGCTTTTTAACGCGTATGCGAATGTCGCCCAACTTGGCCACATTATTATCAACCAATTCGTTTATATCACAATTGCTCATCTTGGTGATTACAGTTAGATTCTGATACTCCTTTGGGAAGTTTGCTAACTCTTGGCATAGTTGCATCACTTGTTCTTTTGTCGCTCCCAAATTGAGCAAAATTGATAAATTATCTATTAAAATTGTGGTGCTTATGCGATTGGTAAAATTGGTTTCGATTTGTTCACGGATGGCAGTCAAGAGTAAAGAAGTAATCTGTTCCTCATCTTCCAGCCACTGCGAGTTGACACCATCACGCGCCATAGCACTTAATGGATCAATGATGTTTAAAGTTTTATCCAGAAATATGTTTGCGTTATAACCAAGACGTAGACCAGCATTCAAGTAATGCTGATAGTTGTGCTGTAGACAGACTAGTAAAGCGCCAGCATTGGAGATGCGCAAACGTTGACCCAAAATGCAGCTTATTAAGAAACTGCCATCCATGTCAGACTCCTCACTGATATGGACAAAGGCAGGCAACTTTTGCTCATTCAGACCACATGCTGAAAGTATTGAAGCGGCCATTATGAAAAATGTATGTTGTTTGTGGAGTACTTTGACAAAATTGAAAGGGTTTATGAACGTTTTGAGCTGTAAAAGAAAAAGTACATTTAGTATATTGAATGAATACTAGAAAATATTTTCTTTAAAAATAGAAGAAGCTAAAGCTAAAGGAAATAACATTTATGAAGCAATATTTTTATGAACACAATTACAAAATAATATTATTAGACTGTGAACTATCGAGTTAGTAAATCGGATTTGTTAAACAAAAATGCAAAATGTTATACAAAATATGGAATAATGTGGTAAAACGTTAATATGTCTCTTTATTCTTTATTTCCCTTTAGTTGTGTGATAATCCTACTTAAACCTTGACCTACTGCAGTTTCCTCAATGATTGCAATCCTTTTTATTTTGCATAGACCATTTTTATCCTAGTCAGTCAGCCTACAGTCTTATACTGACTGTGTTGACATGTAATAGACCTGTAATATTTTTTACAGACAGCAGAAATTGATTCTTAACTCTCTCTTTGAAAATAACTTAAAAATGTTTATTTTATTGACACCAGACTCAATTTAAGAACGACTATATATCTTAAAAACATTTCGCAGATATTAATAAAAATTAATAAAAATAATTTTTGAAATTTATGTTTATTTTGGCCAATGAACTTGACCAATTTCGTTTGAAATTGGAATTATAGCAGTAAATGACGCATAAACCTTTAGAGACAGCGGATGAGAGCATGTTTCACAAAAAGTTTCAATATTTTTAAATTAATAAATTTCCCAGTGAAATCTTACAAAATTTAGTTTACAGCCAAAAGTAATATTGTCCATTCTCCCCCATTGCCACTTAATTATGCCATAAGCAATATGCACCATAAATTTTTCATCTTTCTCAGTTTTTTGTTGAGTTCTTCTCTGACTTAATTTGGCTTGTTTTTTGTACAATTTAAATGCAAAGAAATGACCAAAAAATATAACCAAAATTAAACAAAAAAGAAGAAGAAGAAGAAACATTTTTCAACAAACTTCTACATTGGACAATTCGCCTGAGTGCAACTAACTTGACCCACACAAGGCGCACATCAGGAACATGCACAATAGGTTGGAGGTTGGAGCTTAGAGGTCGGAGATCGGGCATATAAGCATAACGGCCGTTATGACTGAAGCCAGACTATGTTGCATTAATTTTCTCAATTGAAATTGGGAAAAACTAATACAAAAAATACGAGTATGTGCACAGTATGGAAGGAAAGTTCGCATGAAAAACGAAATATGCAGAAGAAAAATGAATCCTGTCCAGATGTCATTTGCACACGTAACAACGCACCATTGCAAAACACAGAGCGAATCCACTTAACTCATGGATAATTTGTTATGGTTCACGATACACAAAAGTTGGAAATTAAAATTGACTGGGTCAGTTATATTTGGCTTTTTTCTAAACGAAATCCTTTCTCGTCCATTGCTCGGCCAAGAATGATTTGCAGTGAGCAATTAAAAAAATTATAAAAAGAAAGCAAGAAACATTCTACGTGCCTGGGACAAGTTAATTAAATTTATGAAGAATTTATTTGTCCAATTTCAAGACATTTTCATTTCATTGAGAGAACAAAAAAATTACAAAAAAAACAATTGAAAAAAATAATAAATACTCTTTCCCATTGATATGCGAAGAACATGAATTTTAAATTGTTTACAGACAAACGCTCTCAAAGATAAACGTAAACACGCGTAGGTGGCAAGTGGGCGTGAAGTAAACAAGCCACACTTAAGCTCATCAAGAACTGGTTCATAACACGCTGGAGCAGTCTACAATGGAGCTCATATGCAGATTGTTAGCAAATTGGTCGGCTGTGAGGGAAAACGACAAAATCGAACTTTCATAAACCTAAGCATTGTTTGCATAGCAAATATGTGGTAAATCCTTCCTAGATTTATCACACAATCGCACGCACACACACATGTCACGAGCGTAAATGACTCTACATACGCGTTAACCTTTTAGCCTGATTAAATTATTTTTAGGCTGAAAGACAAATAACGGAAGCGGGAGTAACAGCAGAAGCAGAAGCAGAAGCACTCATTGACACGCAAACCCATTTAAGTCTAAAAAATTAAGACAACTGAACTGAGGATGGGAATTGCGGTTTGGGGAACGCTGCCTGCGTTAATGCCTTCATTCATGCTTTTTCATTCATCCGATTCGCACTACTTAGGTCGCCACTCCTACTCCAGCCGCGCTTCACCACAAATAATTTCGTTCAAAAATTTACTGCGTCTACAGTTACTCACAGACTCATTTAAATTCCATTAAATTTTATGGCAAACTTCAACTAAAGAACTCGTTTAAAACAAAAAACTTCACAAATTCTCAGTTTCTTCTTATTTTAAACTTGACAAATAAAAAATATTTGTCAGATACAAAAAGGACGTAATCCAAATAACGCATTAGTGACTGCTTCTTTTTAAATTTCATTTAATTTAAATTTGATAGATTCCACAAGTTTCGTTAATGTCGGAGCTCTGCTGATAAGTTCATCAAAGAAATGTCTTGATGTCTTGTCTATTAGAAATATTCGTGCTCTGACATCTGAATAAAAGAGTTAAGAAGAAATTAAAAGAAAGAACTTGCTTATAAGATTGTAAAATGAGAACATTTTTAAGAATTCGTCATTGTTAAATACCAGAGGCACATTTTATAATAGGTACTTATCAATTAGGCGCCTTTTGATAAAACAAAAAAGATTTAAGATAAGCTAGCTATTTTAAGGAACTTTTTGTAAACCCACGTCTATTTCATACCACATTACTACTGTAACTGTTCTGTAAAGAGAAAAAGCTTTTATTGCTTACACTAATGACATCGGACAGATACTAGACTAAAATATACTTCGGACTAAGTAAACAATTGAGAAATAAAGTCCTCTCTCGACAAACAAAAATCACGCTCTACAAATCTGTCATCATGCCTGTATTTTGGGCTAAGTAAGCAATTGAGAAATAAAGCTCTCTCTCGACAAACAAAAATTACGTTCTACAAATCTCTCATCATGCCTGTCCTGCTGTATGCTGCAGAAGCTTGGATAATTACCAACAGTAATGAGAAGGCGTTAGCAGCATTCAAGAGAAAAATTCTTCGGACGATCTATGGTGTCTTAAGCGTTGGCGACGAGTATCGAATTAGATGGAACGATGAGTTGTACGGGCTATACCGCGACATTAACGTAGTTAAGCGCATAAAAATGGTCACATGGTCATGTCTTGCGAATGGAAGAAAGTGTTCCGGCTAGAAAGGTGTTTGATGCAGTACCCGCAGGTGAAAAACGCGGTGGAGAACGTCCGCATCTTAGGTGGAAGGACTAGGTGACCAACAATTTGGGGACGCTCGGTATATCTAACTGGCGACAGCAAGCAACTAATAGGACTGACTGGCGGAGGCTACTTGACGCGGCCAAGGACGACTCACGTCTGTAATGGCCAACTTAGTAAGTAAGTAAGCAGGTCGAATTAATCTATTGCAGCAGCACACTACAATTAGCAGAAACTGATATGAGTTCTAAGAATTCTTCTACAGATCCGCTATAAATATTGGAAAAGGCTTTTAATAAATCATTTTTATTAGAAACAAAAGATTACGAAGGCATCCTCGCTCCAACGATCTTTCAACATATGATAAAATCAAAAAAGTGAGGGAAATTGTGAAGAGACTAATAATTTAATAGCTGATGATCACAATATATCTCACACGAACTTGTAGTTATATTTTAGTAAATATTCTAATATTAAATATATTTTTTTGAGATATCTGGCTTTAAAATTTAAAATGTTTATTATCGGTTAAAAAGAAACGATAACTTGTTTGTGTAATGAATTCGAAAATTTCATATCGTAGTTGGCAGTAGAGGATAATTGCAGTTATCTGTTATTGTAATCTATCTAAAAAGTTTATATCTTTGAATCTATATATTCCTAGAAGTAAACTACATCGCCATGTAGAGTAGTGAAAAGAGTTTCTTAAAATAGCTAACTCTGCCAAAGTACGTTGTCAAGTCTGAGTCTCTGGGAAATTGGATTTGTGTTATTTTTATACCCAAATTTCATATATTTCACATTTTTGTGAATGCTTAAAGCACTAAAAAGTTTTTATTTTCTAATCAAATTTTTTTATATATAAGAAAAACAAAAAAAAAATTATGGAAAACATAAAACAGTTATTTGACGATATTGTGAACATTGGCCCATTAGCTCAGTTGGTTAGAGCGTCGTGCTAATAACGCGAAGGCCGCGGGTTCGATCCCCCCATGGGCCAGGTATTATTTTTTTTTAAATTTTATATATTTTTTTACTTCATTTATTAAGAAATCATAAAGATCACCCTGATTAATTCAACTTATACGCCGTGATATCTGGTAAATAAGGTCTCATAAAATAATTTCCAAATCATTATATATTTCATTATAGTAAGTTTATATAAATAATTTGTGATTTAATGTTATAAGTCTTTAATATTCTAAAACTTATTGTTAGGCTTTCATTTAAATAGATTCATTAAAGACATTTTGTTAAATAAAAAAAAAAAAAGCAGAGTTTATGCGTTGAGAACACAGGGCGAAATTATCTGAATACCTTTCTACAATTTCTCTGTTCAAATCCTTTTTTCTTGATTTTATTTTAGAGACATCAAGTACAAAATGATAATTTAAAGAAAATCAAATTTCCTGATTTTAATTTCATAAAACGAATTAAAATACCACCATATACTTATAAAGGCGAGAGCTTAACAATTAACAATTGCAAGTCAAGAGAATAAGAGAGCCTTACATAACATAGGCCAAATGAAATAGAAGAAGCAGTCTTATATTATGAAAATGTCTAATCATTATTACAAAATCATAACAAAAAAATATTATAGCTATTAATTCAAAAAATATATTTTTTAAAACTTAGAGAAAAAAAAACATTTGGCCCATGGGGGGATCGAACCCGCGGCCTTCGCGTTATTAGCACGACGCTCTAACCAACTGAGCTAATGGGCCCGATGTCAAGTCGCTGTCAGATTGCACAAATCAAAATAAATTAACTAATGTACAAATATTTAATTTAATTTTCAATAATTTGTTTTTTACAATTTAATTAATTAATTTTTTTTACAAATTAATTACTTATACTATATAACAAAAACAATTAACTTCCAAGGACCGCGAGTTCGAGTAAATTGATGGTAAATTGATGAAATAGTAAAGTATGTCGGTATTGCAGGGAATGTTAGTATTTACCAGAATTTCGAGTAGGGTACAAATACGAGTAAGATACAAATTAGGTAAATAAGGTGTTACCATTATGAAAATTTTTTAAAGATGTTTAATAAATAAATTTGAAAACTTTAAACCAAAAATAATAAATAAGTGCGTAAGTGCAGTGTAAAAAATCCCTAGGAAATTTCAATTTACTTTACCTCAAATTACTCGAACTCGCACACGGCCATAATACTTATCGATTATGTTTATGCTTATCGATTATCTTATATCTTATTATATTATCTTATCGATTATCTATAATAACTTATTAAAATAAAAAGATTTTAAACAAATTTTGCACTCAGTACCGAGACTTAACATAAAAATATTGAAAATAATTGAAACTTCGTATATTTTTGAAAATTTGTTGAGTAAATAAAAGCAGAAAGGTTTGCAAATATGTTTATGCTTTATAGTATGAAACAAAATTTTTTTTTTTGAATTCTAGAAAAAAAATATACAAAAACTAATCAATTTAGGTATTCTGAAAATCGATCTAAAAAATACGATTGCAGGTTTATTATATTTGATATAAAAAACAAAAAATCAAAATGATAAGGCCCAAACTCGTTGATGTGGTAAAAAATTGGTTACCATATTAAAGTCTAATAGTTTAATCATTGAAATGCCAATAATGTAAGTAACAAAGGAATCTACCATTGTGGATGAACCGAGCAGCGAACAAGCAGCCTCGGTTTGCTATTTTAGGGGGTGTTAAAGGATGGATCTGAGAAAATATGGTGACATTTAAGATTTTTTTTTTATTATTATTATATATTCAATTGCGCCTAGTTAAAAATAAAAACTAATTAGCAATATTTTTACATCGGGGACTTGAGATAGTCGACATCCTTATCGGTTATATTATAGTATACTGATTAATATGTAACTTAATTAGTTAAATTAGACTATTTGGTTCTCTTAAGCCGGCGTACGAGATCTTCTATTTAAAGGAGTGATAAAGCTTCTGTATTGCATTGAACTTCAAGTCGTTTTTTATGAGCTTCAGCCTAAAACGTGATTATTTCAGTCACTTTCGGAACATGCAAGACACGATGAGGGTCGCTGTTACGCACATACCATGAAGCATTGGTAATTGTTCTCAGGATGTTGTTTTGATATCGTCGGATTATCTGCCAACGATTTGACTCAGAGGTGCAACCCCAGAGTTCAAATTCGTAGGCCCAAATTGGAAGTAGTACCTGCTTCTATATACATATGTACCATGTGTATTTACTGTTTGAAGCATAACAAAGGAATCGTCTTTCTTCCTGATGAATGATAGACTAAAGTCTGTCGAAATTAGTATGATATAAAATATGGTTTGAGTATGTAAGACTAAAAGCATTCATCTACAGCCGACGATAGAAATTATTGTCTATTTGGGTGTGATTTCAATATTCTGAGCATGCCTATTTCAGACAATAATTACGAAGAATTTTACCACTTCGCTATTGAAGTATCAGGTAGGGTTTGTAAAATTTTAAGATCAAAGTTGGTTTTTTTTCTGGTTTCGAATATTTTATTATTTTACAAATAATTTTTACCAAAGAATTATTTATACAAATGAAAACCAGTTAAGTCTCGCACGTCACAAATATTAAATAAAGAAAATAAAGGAGTTTCTGAATATTTGTTGTCGTCTAAAATTATTATAACAGCCCTTTGTAGGACGTGTGCGAGTTAGGCTAAGTTGATGCTAAACCAAATGGGAGATTTTTTGGGATTTTTTACACTGCACACATTTAGCCATTTATCAACACGTATCGACACATTACTGCATTATCGGCGCAACTAAGAATTTCCCTCATTTAGAACGCAACTTAGCCTAACTCGCACACGACCGTAAATACTTTATATTACATCCGACATGCAGTTTCACAAGACGCAGAATGTAATTAATCTGTTTTCACTTATGAAGTTTTACTGAACTACGTTAAACCACAACGCAGTTTAATCTAAAAACTATGATATTATAAATATTTGAATAAGGAAAAGATGGCGAGCTTAAGGATTCTGGATCCAATTTGTCCAAATGTCCCACTGTGGTCGTTTAACAAATTGCTTTACTATTTTGATGGTAGTTCATAAAACATTTTGTAAATAGTGTTTATCACATAAAATCACATTTTTTTAATTGTTTTCACAGTATTAATATGACGGAAGCGCTACCAAAACGTAAGGCACGTTGGTATTTTGGTGGGTTGTCTGCGGCGGCTGCAGCTTTTTTTACCCACCCATTAGATCTGATAAAAGTAGTATTGCAAACGCAACAACACAAAACTTCAGTTTTCGAGGTAACAAAAAAAATCACAGCAGAGCATGGCTTTTTTTCGTTATACAACGGGATTTCAGCTTCAGTTTTACGACAGCTGACTTACTCAACTGCGCGTTTCGGTGAGTATTGGCTTTCAAGACCAAGTTAATCGTAATATGCTAAAGAGAATGTTTTTTAGGGATCTATGAGGCTGGCAAGAATTATATAAGTACGAGCACATTTGCTGGTAAAGTAGAGTTAGCCATCATATCAGGTACAGTGGGTGGTTTTATTGGTAAGTCAAAATTATAAAATAAATACTTAATTATACAATGCGTCATAAATCAGGTGCTCCGTTTGATTTGGTGAATGTACGTATGCAAAACGATGTAAAACTTCCACCGGAAGAGAGAAGAAAGTAAGTACACTGAAAAGATCTTCCTAATATAAGCTGATATACAGATATTTTATATAGTTATAAAAATGCTGTTGACGGATTATTTAAGGTGTACAAAACAGAAGGAATTAAAAATATGTTTACTGGTGCTGAGTTAGCTACGGTCAGAGGAGTATTAGTGACAGTAGGTCAAATTGCATTTTATGATCAAGTAAGTTTTTTCTCTGCCAAAATATATGTATATTTGAAATTTTGCTGATTTACTTGAATTTATGGTATGTTTAATAGGTAAAAAGCACATTACTGGAAACTGCATACTTTGAAGATGACCTGAAGACCTACTTAGTTTCTTCTCTTGCTGCGGCAATAATTTCTACCACACTAACGCAACCTATGGACGTGCTTAAAACTCGTGCTATGAATGCTAAGCCAGGAGAGTATAAAAATACTATGGATATTGTATTACATACTGCCAAACTTGGTCCATTAGGTTTCTTCAAAGGATATTTGCCAGCGTTTGTGCGGATTGGCCCGCACACTATATTGACATTTGTCATATTAGAACAAATGACACATCATTTTGGTATATTTTGATTGAAATTTGTCTGATAAAATTATGTGATTATATTTAGTATTATTTACTCTAAATTAAGTAGATATAAAAATCAAATCTATTTTAATTTAACGATAATATAAAAAATGTTTTACACCATAGAACTCAATAAATTTGTGAGAATGATTTTTTGATATATAAATGGATTTCCTACACTTCAATTGAGGAATACTGTTTGTTACTATTACAATTATTCAGTGACATAGTGCTGTCGCCAATATGACTCAGAACATACATCCAATTAAAGCCACAACAACATATCACTTGAAGAAAATGCTTGTCTTTGCTTGACTTAGAAACGATAGCTTTGAAAAAGTAGTCAGTAAATGCAAAAGAGTCTACAAATCCAAAACAAATTGATCAAATATCTTTCTTCATATGAACTTCATACATTAAGATTATTCTCTTGTGCTTAATAAGATAATTTCCAAACTGCAAGAATCGTATCAAGAGCTAGTAAATTTCAAAATAAATAAGAAGATTTCTCTTTATTGGTCACATCGTTTGAGGGAACTGAGAAATTGAGAAACTGAGAAAAGGTGCAGCGAAATAAAAAGTTTGTAATAAACAGAAGCACTTGGTGACTTGGTGTTTTCTCAAAAAGAAACTGTCTTAATTTTGATCATTTTTACCAAAATAACTTATTCTTATATATGTAACATTGTAATCGGATTAAGATTGGGGATGTTTATTGGAGCACCTTTTAGTAATAGCCTCGATCGTACGAATTTTAGGTGATTAGTTAACCTGGAACTCACAAGATCACGGAGAAGACAATGCGACATTAATAAGTGCTTTGTTTAAAGAAAACTTTAATAATCAATATTTGGACCAAGTTTTAAAAATTATGTTGTGGCGCTGCGTAAATTATTTAATAATCCATTATAATGTCAGTTAGGAAAAGGAAAATTTAGTTAATACCTTTAAATTTAAGACAAATCGAATTTATTAATAATATTATCACAGTTAAACAATATAATTTTTGTTACACGATTATTTGATTAGCCATTGCGTTAACCAATGCGCTTGCTAAAGATTGTCTCTCTACTCAGCACAAACACTTGCCAGTAATAAGAATGTCTGCCACCCTTAAATCCACCTGTGGTTTCTTATCATTTGAACCACGTTATGGAAATATTTTTTTTTTCACAATTTAAACTTTTGAATTATTTTGAAATTTATATTCTTCTGGTAAATAAATCAGATTTTCTTTTTTAAAACTTCAACTCACCACGAGTAATTAGAATCTAAAGAATTTCAATTAACTTTAAACATCAAACTTTAAACGATTTAATTCAGATACTTTTCGATGTTGTTTTTGATCGAACGCACACTGGGAAAAGCGAAGAGCAACGAAGCTTGCGAACTTTGTGGTGTGCGGTTGACTCGGAATTTACGAGAACTCAGCATTTCGAAGAGAACGGCAGCGAGTCTAGCACTTATCAATGTATCTGCTACAATCGGCAGTAAGAGTATCTCAAACTATACTTTACTTTGGTTTATATATTTATTAATATTTATTGCAGTGAAAATAAAATTCCTTTTGAGTACTTTTAGTAGTTTTACTTGGGCGTAGAGAGAAAGAGGGGCGAAGGTCCATTTTAAATATAGCCAAAATAATATCTCTTTATTAAAAATGGTCGCAAGAGTTCTATCAACTAGCTCCAGTTAATAAAAAATTATATCTTAGTCGTATATTTATATATGGCCTTTACCCTATTGTTCCTAACTTCAGACCCACTGCATATTTGTGCTCATTGAGGCTTGAAAATTAATTTCATTACGCAAATTTTGTGATTAAATCGATTACAATTAAACAATTGATACTTGACAAAAGGATATCAAGGACGTATAGACCATCAAGCACAATCGAAACCAAATACTACTGACATCGCTTTAAATTATTTTTAATTAATTTTATTTTATTTGTTTTCTATGCACCAAGAAAGGAATTTGCGGTAAAATTTTTGTATAATTATTTTAATATATTTTTATTGGAAATTCAAGAGCAATTAAAATTTCAATTAAATTTACATAGTACAAAAGATTCTTTCAAGCACTTGATTAGTTATTTGCGAAATCAATTTTATTGTTTCAAATTTAATAAATTAATGTGAATTATTAATTAAGTATTTATTTCCTAGTATTTGATTTTGTCATTATTTGGAACAATTTCATACCTTTTGGTCAGAAAACTCTTTTTATTAAATAGAAGAATAGAAGTCACCTCATGGTGACTGTCCTTTTAAGAACATTCACTGTATTTTGGAATGGATTTCCGTCACATAACGCTGTTCTGTTATATAGCTAAGATTATTTTTAGAATGAAAAATATAGTTATAAGGAGTACGTTTCATAGTTAGAAAAAAACTTTATTCTAAGAATACACGTGCCACTCCACAGCATATGAAATAAAGATATTAATTTAGATATTAATAAAGATATTCAAAAGATATTAATTGAGAATTTCTTACTACAAAATGGACTTCAACATAACCATACTATTGCTTTGATGATAACATTTAATACAAGTTTTAGTAAAAAGAAGTTACTCTATTTAATTTATAAAGGTTCTTTAGTAAAAATATTAGTGTTTCATATTGTCATTTGATTACAATCATACACTAATAAATATACACTAATATTATAATATACACTAAATATACACTAATACTAATAATATTATACACTAATAAATAAATATTACAAATATTGTAATATAAACACATCGTATTCAATAGCATTTGAGATTATTAGATAATTTTATATACTTATACTATTAACAGTTGAAAAGCGTGACTACTTTTCATACACTGAAAGAGAAAATTCAATAATAATAACCATGTGCTCTTATTACTATAGCCCTAAAACCAATCAAATAAAGCGCATATACACTGTTTTCCCTCAACTCTTCACAGACAAAGAGTTAAATCCTTTGAAGAATTCAACTTAAAGGAATTACTAGAGCTTGGCATAGTCGACTGTAAAAAGCTTTTAATGTTTACCATTGAAACCAGATGATTTGATGACTGAAATTTGTTGATGAATTGCGCTACGTGTCTCAATTGTAACACAATTGCCCATGTCTATGCAAGTTCCAATATGCTCTATCTTCGAAACTACAATAATAATAATATGATATACACTTAAACAACCGACTATAGCTCCCCGATTATTTGTCTAATGTCATGAAACTGAGCGTCGTATCGGACAAACAAAACACAATGCTGAGTGTTAAATAAAGAAACTGGAGAAAAGCAGCATGAAATAAAAAAACACATTCAAAAACAATGAAACTCAAACAAACCAACAAGAATCACAATCAAACTCTTCAATGCATATGTAATTATAGGTCTACGGGGACTAGTTGTGTTTGTATATGTGAGTGTTTGACGCTGAACAGCACATAAAACAAAAATTCATTCGATCTGAGCAATGTAGCGCCCGCCCTTTACTGCTCTAGTACAGCACTTTCAAATGAAAAGCTCTGGTCTCCACTGCACCTATCTGTCCCTACAAGCGGTGGACTACACGTGTGTAATGTATGTGTGTACATGTGTGTGTGTTTATTAGCAACAGAATTAGCTAAGAGGCGACCCCAACTTAACCGTGTGCCGCCAAAACATCCGTAGCCTATGCGTTGCCTAACGAAACTTCAGTCTGTAGTTTGTTTCAGAGTCGAGTCAGTATAGTTGCGGCGAGCCGAGCGATCTGTTCCACTTTGCTCTGCTCTAGTCGCGTTCAGTTCAGTTCAGTTCAGTTCTAAATTCCAGACGAGAGTGTGCGGTGAGCTTATGACCTCATTTCGAATTCATTGCTAGCGAGCGTCTCGCGTGTGTTTACATCACGAATAAAAAAAACCTTCCGTTGAAATAAAAAAGTATCTGCTGATTTCTTGCTTTTATCTGCTGCGCTCAGGTATCGAAATTTGAAATGTGAGTTGTGTTTCTTGTTTTTCATAATTTATAGTTTTTTGTGCTTTTTTCTTTTTTGTTTTTTGTTTTTTGTTTTTTGCATTTCGGACTTTAATGCTGTAATGTGAGTGCAAAAATGCTGAATCATTTCATTGAATTGAAGCGTTTGCATGTATCTGAGAGCTGAAAGTCGCCTTGGGCCTTGTGCCTTGCGCCTTGTGCAATGCGATTTCAAAGTTAAGTTCAGGTGCATTTCAAGCGCTAGCAACTCAATAAACTTGAAAACATTTAAGTTCTGTGCTGAGAGACGAACAGATAAATAAACGACCGCGAATAACAAATTTCATTGCCAAATTGGAAAGTTTTGAATATTTCATTATGAAAGCGTGTAGATTGCCTTCCATTATCAATTAAATTATTCATTTGGTGACATTTAATGACTTCAAGAATTTGTACTTGTATTTGATAAGCGTGAATGTTTCACTAATGCAGAGCGCCTAATATATATATAAGCCGGCGTCGGAGATAAGCCCCAGTGAAATGAGTTTCATTGATAAACGTGTCAAACAAATGTAGTGGAGTGTGTTTTACTTTTTAAAAGTTTTTAAACTCAACGAAACAAGTGGTAGAGGAAAAAATTTTCCATAACCAAAAACAACCCATATTAATTAATAAAAATACTTTATACTTCAAATATAAAATTTTAGAAAAGGCAATGCAACAGTGTGCCCTGTTAGATATATTATGCTATTTCTGGCGGAAGGCTACAACTGCTAATATTCATTAGTTCAAGATTCCGAATCTCATTTGGTTCAATGAAGGCTAAATAGAGTTAGTGAATCTGTTTTCTGACATTCGCAGGACATAAACAGGCAGAACAGGCAGATGTTTTCCTCTGCATTTCAGAGAATCTACAGATTCAAGAATGTTGCAAAAAATATTTAAATAATCTACAGAATCTACAGGCACTATTGTCATTCAATCCCATTTTTAAAGGTAGCAGCTAACAGGCGTATTCCGCGTTTAATCCTAAGATCAGATCTTTTTAGACTGCACACAATTCTAGCATCTAAATACTGTTGCAGTTCCATAAGCGATACTATAAAG